TGTGCGCGTGAGCCCGAGTGTGAGTAAGCCGAATATGTGTGAATCTAGGCGTGAGTAAGAGGGGAGGGAGGCGGGCTAGGAGGTGGACAAAAAGGGGGAGGCGTGGGGACACCGAGCGGGCGAGCCGCTCGAGAAAACCCCCGCACTCTGGGCGCTGACGGGGCACCCGCCACCCCCCCTGGCAGGGCTCGCCCCTGCGGCTCACACGTGCAACGAATGTTGTATCGCGGCGGCCACCTGGAAACTGGGCGAGGGCTGCTAAAACCGTGGCTGCTATAAAACGGCCCTCCCGGAAGGAGAAAACGACTCCCCGGAATGTGGCGCGGCGCGCGAAACAGTCAACAGGCTCCTTCCCGGAAGGACGAAGACGACTTCCCGGAGGTCGATTTTAGCAGCCACGGTTTTAGCAGCCCTTGCCCGGCTTCCCGGCCACGTACGGCAGGTTTGCGTCGTGTCGACCCCGGCGCTGGTTTCTGACACCGCGAGGATCGCTCAACCTTGAACAAGGTGCCCTTCCAAAAGGGCCGGATCGTTCAAGGATGGGCCGACTCTGGGCCAGAGGCGGCGTTCAACCTTGAATGCCCGCGCTGGGGTCGTCGCCGGTCGACACGACGCGAGCCTGCCGTAGTTCAGACAAGACAGCAAAGATTCTGACCCGCAAGAAGAAGAGCAAACCGCCCAAGACATCCCCACAACCTGGGCGCGGACGGGCAAGTGCTATACCCCCTGGTTGGGGTGCCCGAGTGCCACGCCTGCTGCGATCATCAGGCTATCAAAAAAGAGTCTGATCAGCAAAAGGAGCATGCCGACTGAAGCATCCCCACGGATCTGGGTGCGAACGGGCAAGTATCCTGCTGCCTGGCGGCTCCTCCTTGGGGTGCTCAAGTGCCATGCTTCTTGATCACGGTGATCACGCATCTCTTAAAAGAGAAAGGTCTGTTTCGCAAAACGACGACCAAACCGCCAAAGACCCCCCCACAATCTGACCGCGAAGTGGCACGTGTCCGACCCCCTGGGGGTTCCTTCCTGGGGCACCCAAATGCCACGCCTGCTATATCGCGGTGGTGATATAGCCCGCAAACCTACCAACCGCGTGAAACATCCCGACAATCAGGGCGCGACCGGCAAGCGTCCCACCCCCTGGCGGTTCCTCCCTGGGGGGTTCCAGTGCCACGCCTGCTACATCGGGTGAGCCTAAACTCGCTCATGAATGCATCAAACGATGGTTGGTCGAAGTGTGGTTGGGTCCGGACATGAGTGGGTCTGAATGATCCTGAGTATGTGTGTCCGGTGCGAGTGGGTCTGCGTCGAGTGTGTGCGAGTCTGAAAGTCAGAGAGCCCGAGTGTCAATGCTTCAGGGCGTCACGCTCCCAAGAGGCAGGCCTCCAAGAGGCTCCCAGGAAACCCACAAGAGGCCCCAAGAAACTCCCCGACGCACCCACGACGCTCCGAGACCCCGGGGCCGCCAAGAGGCCCTCAAGACGCTCCAAGAGGCCTCCAATAAGCTTCCAAGAGACATCCGAGGAGACTCTGAAAGACACCTCGCCTGGGCATCGCCTATGCATGGTCTGGTGCGGATATTTGTGTTGGTCGCGGGCGCGCGCGTGAAGCAGTCGCCGAGAGGGAAGTCCGGGGCACGGGCCAACCTAATCAACTACCGAGCCAAGCGCACTGCTGGTGCAGATTTTTTTTTGATTTGCGGCTCCGGGACAGATCCAGGAAGCGGGGCGGACGCGACTGGGGCACAGAGCGAGATAATTAGCTGCAGAGGCGCATAGGCCGCTGAAGCGAGTGCACATGCCAGGGACAAAATGACCCTCATCGGGGGCTGACGCTGGCGGCCCGACAGTGGGGAACGCAAGAACAGAACTGGAAGCGGACGGAAAGGAGCGGTCGCACACGTGGCACCAAGCTCCAACCGTACCGGACAGCGCGACAGGGCGTGGAGCATGCGGCACTGTGGCGGCACGGGGTGGCCAGGCGTGGCCGCACCGTCCAAGCAACAACAGGTGAGGCAAGGAACAGGGGATACACGGCGGGCGCAAGGGCACGTGGCGCTGGTGCAAGCACTTTTTGATTCGCGGCCCGCAAGGAGTCCAGAGGGCGGAGTGACCGAGGCTGGGGCATAGCGACAGATAATTGGCGCGACATCGCGCAGAGTGCACCTGCAGATAATTAGCGCCGCTGAGCATGTGTCAGCAAAAGAGGGCAACCGCGAAGGCAACAGCTGAAGCCCAGGTGCCACCACGCGGACCCCAAAAACCGCTGAGCGTGTGCCAGCCGAAGGGGGGCGGGCGGAAACAGGTCGGACCCACAGGTGGAGTACCGACTGCCAGGCGGAAGCGTGCCAAAACCACTCAAAGCTGGTGCAGATACGCGAAGCGTCAAAGAATTTGCATGTCAGTGAGCCTACCATTCGTATGAAGTGCGCTTGGGGAAGGCGGGGGGGGAGGAAGCAAGAGGGCGGGAGGCGGATGCGTCACACGAGTGACGACATCCCCACCTTACGATACAGCGGTGGCACCGCCAGCAGGAACGCCAAACAACGAACGGATCCCCTTTTTTGTCAGAGCCCTGAACGGATCCCCTGATTTTCAGAGTAGTGAGCGTGTCGCTTGTTGAATCCATGCGTTCCCGAAGAACGGCCAAGCCCCTCTGTGGAGGCGCTTCCTCGTCGTTGCCTCTCGGCTTGCAAACGGCCCCTCCGCTCCCGAGGAACGCTGGGGGGGGCTCCCTGGCGAGGGAGCGCAGGCAGACCCGAGGAGACCCCGAGCCCCTGCCGAACCCGCGCTGGGCCCTCTCCCGGCCACACGACTGTATAGGGGGGGGGGTCGCGCTCTGGGGAGAAAAGGCGTGCACCTTGCAGTGGTACGGCTGCCTGGGCTGCGTGGGGGGGAGGGGGGCGCGGCGACGACGGCGGCGGCTGGGGCTGAAAGGACGGGACACACACACTAGGGTTAGGTCGGGCATGTCCCCCTGCAGGCGAATATTGGACGACAAATAAGACAAGTCAAACAATACCAAACAAAAGAAAAAATGAGGGAAAAATTGTCCCCAGACTATTCGTTGACGATTTTTGAATATTCCTCCTGTAGAGGGACAAGCCCGGCATAACACTAGGGGCGACAACCAAAGGCCGATCGGACAACCCATACACCCCGCCACGCATCGAAACAACCAAACCACCAACCCGACCAGACAGCAAACCGTGACTGCGTTGTCGCTTGAGACTTCCTCGCCTCGAAGGCGCCATGGCAGGTGGGGGGAGGGGGGAAAGCGTGCATCTAGGCGTGTATCCAGTAATTGCGAGGGGCGGGATGGATCAGGCGAGAAGGCGACTGGCAAAAACGTGCAGACTCGAAATCTTTGTCGTCTGTGACGGCTGGAGCGACAGCTCTCCAAAATCATCTGCGCACCAACCTTTTTTTTAAACACAAACTGATGAGAAGTTAAAACAATAAGTGCCATGATATGCCTTTGAATACCATGTTCTGCATGAAGTAAATCTGGAACGCTTGTCCATCACTCGAGCAAATTGGGGGCGGAAGCAACTATGCAAAAGCTGGACAAAATCGGGAAGAGGAACGACCGCAAATGCCCCCCTGCAAAGCCAGGGCGCAAGCCTCCCCGCCCCCATCGGCGACCGGGGCGGAAGGCTCTGCCACCCCCCAATCTGGGCTCGGAGCGGCGTCGGCGCTGCGCCGGGGGAGTGGCGAGGAAGGGAACAAAAGGAGTGACGTCCAATGCCCGCCCGCAAAACCGAAAGCGAACGGGGGGGCGGGCGGGGCAGGAAGGAAGGGCGCGCGGGAGGGGAGGGAGGAAAGGATAGGGAAGGAACGCACTACAACGCACCAGCGCGCGACTGCAGCGCAGCGCGAGCCGGAGGAACGTCCGATGCGCAAAGAACGCAGCACAGTCCAACACGCCGCAAACGAGGCCTAGCCGTAGAACCAGTGGTAACTACAACGCGATCCGAAGCCCAAACGGCCAGCCACATCCGCACGGCACCAGAAAGGCGGAGGAGCGAAAGCGAACAAAGGGGGGAATGAGGGTTCGAACATCGAGCAGGAGAGCGCCAAAGCGGGGGAGGAGAGGGAGTGTCGGAAGCGCAAAGACTGCAGGATTCGGACCCCAACCCGCGTGCAGGTGGCGCCCATGTCGCAGGTGCACGGGGCATGGTGGCAGGGGCGACACCTGCGCGTGGACCGCGAACTGTTGGGGCCGCGGGAGCTGCATGCGCGACAAAGGCAGCAAGAGGAGCTGCACACGAACCGCAAGGGCCGCATGATTCGCATGGGGCATGTGGGCCGCAGAAGGCGTGCACCCAGTAGTGGATGTGCTGTTCTGTTGTTGCTTTAAGGCGCCCCCCGCCCACTATCTATCATCCCTCTCCCGGTGAACGGCAAGGCTGCAAGGGCCTTGCAAGGCCATGCCGACACTTTGCGAGCGGGGCGCGGCCAGCGAATGTGGCCAGGGATGGGCCGAAGGGGCAAGGCTGCAAGGGTAACCTTGGGAAGGCTGCCGATCCCTACTATGCGGGTTGACTGTAAGGGCCTGGGTTGGGCGGGACAGGCAACGTCCTCGCAACACTTGCACGAGGGCAGGGGGCTATGCGTGTACCCAGCGATGGTGACTGTCAAGGTTGGCGAGGAGTTGGAGTACCATGTGGGACCTGCTTAGAACAATAACATACTGTAGACGGACCTGACCTTTCTCCGACCTTGCTCCGCGCTGGACGCAACGGCCACGTTGTTCACAGACGTATCCCCCCTGGAAGAATCTAGGGACGTCACGGCACCCAGTGTGTCCATAGACGCTTTTTACCAAGACGTGAGAGCGGTATCTGGTATCAGCCCCAGATGCTGGCTTTCTGGAAGCAGGTGGGCTTGGCCCTCCAAGTGAGGAAGGGGAGGAAGGTAAGAAGCAGGAAGAGGAGGATCAACAGACATGCCCCCGCCCCTCCCCCGCACGGCGGCGAAAGGAGGCCCGAGCGGAGGCTCGCTCGCTCACCGAAACTGCGCCCTCGGGGCCGGCCGGTGGGAACGGGAAGCAAAGAGGGGCGGAAGACCGAGAAAAAAACTGAATCCATGGTGCGTCTGTATAGGCATGGGCACATCTTTGACTTCCGCCGCCTTCCGCCAGCCTTCCGCCGGCTTCAACCGGCGGAGGCGGCCTCGTTTCACTTCCGCCGACCTTCCGCCGCGGAAGAAATGACAACTCCGTCGATCTTCGAAGGCAAGGCCCTTTCTGAGAACCCTTCCCATAGGCGGTAGCTATCTATATTTTCGGCGGCCTTGTTGAAAGACCAATTGCTGTTTTCAGCGGCACCCGCCGCGCAACAACAAAGACAGCTACGACTACGTTGCGACTGCGACGACGTCGACTACTACCATTTCTGCCCCAGAAACGCTCTCACGAACATCCTAGCTCAGAAACTTGCTCCTCGGAAACTTTACCCTCATAATCTTCATCCTCAGAAGGCCTGTCGACGCTCAGGCCCCACGAGGGGAGGAGTAGGAGGAGAGGTTTCAGGGCCAGTTCGATTCACCTCCGAAAAAAAAGGGGGGTACCCAAACAAAAGACCCTTACGGGTTACTGAAGGGGCCCAAGGACACACAAACAAATACACACACAAATAACAGGATTCCCAACATTTCCCTGTATTTTCTGGGTTTTCGTCTCCCCCCCCCACTTCCCATAGTTTCCAATATTTTCTAGAGAACCGACGATGAATTGTGCCTGTGTGTGTTCCCTCCTGAAGAATGGCATGAACACGTACTTTTGGCGGAGGTCCGCGCGGACCTCTCGGATCGCCTTGGAGGCGCCGAGAGGCGCGAGGAGGACCCCAGCGCGGATTCCAGAAATCCACGCAGGCCTCCTAAAAAACATGCGTGTGTCCATGCTGTTGCCCTAACACAAACAGATAAAGAGAGTGGGAAAGAGAGAGAGAGAGAGAACAAAAGAGAGATAGAGAAAGAAAGAGAGGGGGAGAGAGATAGAGAGAGACAGAGAGAAACAACAGTACATGCATACTCAACGAGGGTGGAGAGAGAGAGAGAGAGAGAGAGAGAGAGGGAGAGAAAGCGTGAAAGAGAAAAGCGAGATCATGATGCATACGTGCGCACGAGGAATTCGTGCCGTATGGGCAAGGGAAGGATCGACATGCATAGAAGTGCGTACGGGGAATCACTGCGGTGTGGGCGGGAGGAGGGGCGCGTGTGCTCAGTATTGTTTCTTATGGGTGGTGTCGGTGAGACGGTGCACAAGAGAAGTTGCGGGCAGAAGGCTGGGTCTAGGCTTTCGATTTCGTGCCAGGATTAGGTCGGGCATGTCCTCCTGCAGGCGGATGTTGGACGAAATATAAGAAATACTCTGCAAGTTCGCAAGCCTAGACAAATAATGTTCAACACATCGTCTCACAAGTATTGTTTACTATGTTTGAATGTTCCGCCTGTAGAGGGGCACGCCCGACTTAATGCCAAGAGGATGTACGTGTATCGACACGCATGAACGAATAGCTCGGGCTCCTTGCAAGGCTTCGGGGGGGGCTTCGGATCACAACGCGAATAAAGGAGACAGGCCCGCAGTGAATTACGGGCATGATCGTGAGCTGTGGTCATCGGCGGCGCACGCGGGAAAAAGCACGAATGCATCACGGCGCGGCCAACTTCAAGTCGGGCCTGTCCCCCTACAGGGGGATGTTCGACGATTTTTCAACCCAAACATAAACAACATATATAATCAACAACTAGGTCTGGGGATTATCTTTTGAATATTGTTTGGCCTTCTTGGAACATTTTCATGCTTTTCTTATCCTTCGACGAAAATCCCCTGTAGGGGGACACGCCCGACATAAGGCCAACTGTGCGTGCCTGGGGCGTCCGTAGCCATTTTGGCTCAAGCCAGCTGGGCAGGAGCAGCGGCCTGGCCCTCGGCGCCCGGGCTCCGCGCGTACGGAAATCTGCGCGCGCGGCCGGTGCCGCATGCCGGGCGGCCGCGGCGGCGGGCGCGGGCGAGCTGCCGGCAGGGTGTCGCCCGGCAGCCGGCAGGTGGACCCAGCGGTGCTCCCAGGGCCACGGGAGCCATGCTGGGGCTGTCAGTGCGGGCGCGCGGAAAACTGGGCCTGCCGCGTGCGCTGCCAGCGCTGCGACCGGGCTGCGCCGCAGCGGATCGCCAACGCTGTGCGGGCGGCGGCGAAGGAGTGGCAGACCGCGCGCGGACGGCGAAGCCGGACGCGCCGCGTGGCCAGCAGCGCCGTGTCGGCGGCGGGGCGGCTGGGGCGGCTGGGGCGGCCTCGTACGCGGAAGCCGTGAAACGCTTGCTGCCCCGCCTGGTGGCGCTGCAGCGCTTGGCGGTGTTCCCATGCAGCCGCCCCCGGTAGGGTGATCGCAGCAGGACCCGCCTGCCGCCGACCTGAGTCCTGCGCAGCGGGGGCTCAGGTACTGGCGCGATCGCCGGACGGCCGCCCAGCGCCATGGGGCAGCGGCGGACTTGGCGGAATGCGACCGCCAGCTCCAGGCCTTGGAGCATGCTGCTCAGGCCTCGCGCCCGTGGGCAGTCCGGGTGCAGGCTGCCGCGGACTCGCAGCGGGCGGCGACGGCCAAGCTACAAACGGTCCGCGAGGACCTGGCGGAAGCCCAGCGTGCGGTCGCGCACTTCGAGGCCGAGGCGGCCAAGGCGGAGTTGGTCTTGCAGCAGGCCGACGCCGCGCTGCTGGCCGTTCAAGCGGAGGCGGCTTCGGCCCGTGCACCGCCGGCAGCGGCGGACCTGTCCGAGGCCGGCGTCGCGGCGGCTTTCGACGCCCTCTCAGCTGCCACCTCGGTGCTGCAGCAGCGTGGAGGCGGCGTCGGAGGCGGCGGCGACGCCGCGGCGCTCGTCGAGCAGCTTCGCGCGCTGGCCGCCCCACCGGCGCATGGGGCCGCCGCGGAGGCTCATGCCGCTGGTGCGGCGGGGGCCCAGGGAGGCGCCGCCGCCTCCGCGCCTGCCGCCGCCGGCATCGCTGGCGCCCCGCAGGTCCTGGCCCCCCGCCGCCGCCGGGAAGCGCTGCGCTGCCAGAGAGCGCAGCCGCTGGTGTTGCGCAGCGCGGCGACGCGCCCAGATCGCGGCGCGAGGTGGCAGGCGCCCGCCACGCTGCAGAGGCCAGGCGGCAGGTCACGCTCCAGCAATGCGTGGACCGCCAGCGGCCTGCCTCCACGCCGCCCTCCCCAATCAGGCGGGGGGCGGCACGCGCTTGAGCGCAATTTGCGACGCTGCTGCTGCTGGGGGCTTTGGTGGCGACCCGTGGGGTTCGCCCACCCGCCCTCAAGGGGCCGCTGGCCGCGCTGCTGCTGGAGGCGCCGCCGGGGGCCTGGAGGGCTCGCCCGCTTCCCTCGCGGGGGCCGCCTGCGACGCCGCTGCTGGGGTCGCTGGAGGCGGCTCCTGCGTGGGCGACTTCGTCCGCGCAGCTGGCGCCTCCGTGCGAACCAGCACGCCGGGGGCGGCCGCGGGCGGCTGGGGCGTGCTGGGCGCTTCCGCCAGGGGCGCCGCCGCGGGCGGCGCGGGGGGCGCGCTGGGCCCCCCCGCCAAGGGCCCCGCCGCGGGCCGCCCTGAGCCGGCGCCGGGGAGGCTGGCAGCAGAGGGTGCGGCGTCACGATCGGCTACGGCATGTTCTGCTTCTACGCGGGCTGCCACCCGGGTCAAGCGGCGTCAGATGTAGCAACTAGCGTCCCCGGCGCGCGCGGGCGGAAGGACTGTGGGCCGAATCCCACAGAGGTTGAAGCTGTCGCCGATCCTAGCCCTTCCCCTGCGGCCACCGGCCGCGCCGCTGTTGCTGAGCCTGGGGGCGCCTCCGGGCGAGGCCCGGAGGGCTCGCCCGCCTCTCTCGCGGGGGCTGCCTGCGGCGCTGCTGCTGGGGTCGCTGGAGGCGGCTCGGCTGGGGGCGCCGCTCTGTGGGAAGACGACCCGGGGCTCCATCTTCCCACCCCCCCTGGCGCCGCTGGCCACATTGCTGCTGCTGCCGCTGCTGCTGCTGGGGGCGTCGCTCGGGGCGGCACGCGGAGCAATGCCGCGGCTCGATGGCGGGGCTGGCCGCGGCGCTGCATCCGCGTAAGCGAAGCTCGGCACCCTGGGCCGGGCAGCGCGCGCGTCCTCGTGGCTGACTAACGCCACGAGCTGGCGCGCCAGCTGGCGCGGGCTGCTGGCGGCCGGGGCCGACGCGCATTGCATCCAGGAGGCGCGCGTGCCCGGCGGCGAGGGCGCAGCTGCCGCCGTGGTCGCAGAAGCTCGGCGCCGCGGACTCCGCCTGCAGCTCGGGGCCGCTGACGAGGGCACCCATCTGCTGGCCTTCGCGCATAAGGAGGGCCTGCACGGCCTCCGCGCCGTGGAGATGGTCGGCCTGGCCCCAGATCAAGCCTGCCGGTTGCAGAATGCGGCCCTCCACCTGGGGGGCGAGCGGGCGCTGCACATCGTGCAGGATTATGGCCGCGCTGATGGCGCTGCCGGAGTGGAGCAAAACGAAGCGTTGCTCTTCGCCGCGGTGGCCTGGCTCCGCTCGCTTGGAGACGTGCCGGCGCTCCTGGTGGGAGATTTCAACCTCGTGCTCCACGAGACCATCGTGGAGCCCGGCCATGGCTGGCTGGCAGGACATCTTGGCCGCAGCCGGGCCGACGTGCCCGCCGAGCTCGGGCCGCCCGTCCCGGATCGACCACGTGCTCGCCAACGGGGCTGCGGCTGAACACGCGGCGTCTGCTGGCCTGCGCTGGGACCTTGGGTTGGCGACGCATGCAGCGCTGGAGGTGGAGCTGGCGGTCGAGCCGCCCGAGCACGCAGCAATGCGGGGGAAGCCAATGCCCCTCTGCGGGCCTGCCTCGGACGGCTGGCCAAACGCCCGGCGGGAAATTACTAACGAGGTGGTCCGGGAGCACGGGGCGGCCTTCCAGGATTGCATCCGCGACGGTCACCTAGCAGCTGCTTGGGGGGCGCTGGAGGCCGCCATGTGCCGATGGCTTAGCTGTCGTCAGGGTCACCTTCAGCCGCTGGCGCGC